CCTGGGAATCTTTTTAAAATCCTGATTTCTGGGCCTCATCCTCCGGAAATTCTGTTTCTTTGTTATGGGTTGGGGCCACAACATTAGTAAGAAAGAAACAGAATTTCCTGAGGATGAGGCCCAGAAATCAGGATTTAAAAAAGATTCCCAGGGGATTCTAATGTGCAGCCAAGGTTGAGAACCACTGCTTTAGAGGGTTCTATTTCTTATCTCTAAACACAGCCATTTCCTAAGGCCCCAAACCAGATGTGAGATTGTAACAGTACATTTGTCTGGCACCAAAAAGAGCTCACATTTACAAACTACCCACTGGCAGCAGCAAGAGGTGCCGGGCAAAGGCCGGAAATGATGTCTGCATGCAGTAGCGAGAAGACTGAGGCTCCGAGACACTAAGAGACTTGCCTGACGGCCCTCATGTACTAATAGGCAGAGACTGGCTTCAAAGCCCGGTCTAACTCCCTCTTGCCTCCTCCCTGTGCTCCCCCACAGCCATCTCCTGGAGATTGATGCACAGGGTCAGTAATGAACCTCACGCAATGACACAGGTGGCCGTGGGTCAGTAATGAACCTCACGCGATGACACAGGTGGCCGTGGGTCAATAATGATGTGGGGGAAGAAGAGCACAGTGACCCAAGTCTATCAGGAGGCCAGTGTAGGCAGAAACCATCCCTCTGGGATCCCCAGGGCCTGGCATCACACCTACCACGTGGTGGGCACTTACGAAGAATCCATTATTTTTTTAAGAGTGGACATACAGGAAATCCAGGTGAACTGAGCGTGCTGCGCTAAGCCCGAAGCAGGCTGGCAGAGTCCCCGCCCTGCAAGCTCACTCCTGCTCAGTGCACAGAGCAGGCGCTGCTGCGTGCAGAGCCCGTGTGGGCTGTGGGGGCTCCAGTCAGGCACCTCAAGGCACAGGTCGAGGGCCCTGCACACGCGGCATCTTCACTCACAGAGGCAGTCCCTGAACAAAGGCCTTGCCAGTGTGGGAGCTGGAGAACTGAGAGCGCAAGACATGACCCCAGCAATCTCCTTGCTGCTGGGCCCCTGCCCCTCCTCCCTCCAGGGCACTGGAGCAGTCCCAGGTTGCCAGAGCACATCGGACGCTGCCCAGCCCTTTCGGAAATTCCTTTACATTGTACCAAATAGGCTGGGAATGTAGACAGTTGAATCTTTTGCTGCTTATCCTGTCTTATAACCCCTACTAAGGACTGCATTGAGATGGCTGATTTAAATATCAAATGGATCATGTGTCCAATTGTGCTTCTCCCACCCTGAGACCACGGCACCTGCCACAATGATCTGCCTGTCCCTTTTAAAAACCAGAAACCTAAGACTTGACTACCCTCTACTTCCTGTCCCTCCTGCTCCTCAACTGCCCCCCTCCCTCGCCACTGTCTGTCCAGTCATCACAGATCCCCCTTCTCCTGTAACTGATTTTCTTGTCTCCAAACCCACCCTCTTATCCAATGACTTGTGCTATTAGAAGTTGATTCTCTCACTGGTATTTTAACCACCCCTTTTCCACTCCTTCCTCCTCTCGGCCAACAACCAGACTCAACTCTCCTATCTTAAGCCCTGAAACTTCCCCCCTCTATTTTCTTCTCTCTTCTTCATCAAAAGCCTGCCTCTACTTCCCTCCTCTCCACTCTTCACCTGCGTCTGACCCATTATTTGTTTCTCATTAGGTCTGTCATTACTTCCAAGTGACCTCCCAATACAATACGCACATCACTGCCCTCATTTTACTTGAAACTCTTCTTGTCATCTTAAATTTTTATTTTGTTTTACTTTGGTGTTTATGCTTGTTTTCTTAGCCTCAGCTTTGAAGGCACAGCTCACTCGAGGACGCCGGTTCCCAGGGAGGTGGTGCCCTGGTCATTCCAGGAGCAGCTGGGAGCTTGGGGGTCCCGCACAGGTAGCTGCTGGGCCGGCTGGTGGCAGGGGTGCCCTGGAGCCCAGCAGCGGGGCAGGGCGTGCTCTCTTGTCTCTCTGTGCAGGAAAGCGGGTGCACAGGGAGCCGGGTACCGGGCCTCGCGGCGGCCTTCACAGGCCTGGCGCTCATCTCAGACCCAGGGCACTTCCTGGCCGGGCTCAATTCGCTGATGATTTCCTCAGGACCTGGAGAGCTACAGTAGCGAATAGGATTGGCCTTCACTTTTCAGGTTCCCATCCTGTCCTTCTTTGGTTCAGGTGTCCAGATCAGCTAATCAAATAACCTGGGAGTGTTCCTTTTTCAGTTTCCTGGAGAAGTTTTTAAGGCTGGGAGGGCCTATGTCCTGACAGGTGGAACTTCTCTACAGACACCCGGGCCTAGACCTTCCTTGTGGATTTCGTTTGTAAGATTTTAAAGCAGTGATTCCAGCCCTAGCTGGTTTGGCTCAGTGGATAGAGTGTCGGCCTGCGGACCAAAGGGTCCTGGGTTTGTTGCCAATCAAAGGCATATACCTCAGTTGCAGGCTCCTCCCTGGCCTGGGCCCTGGTCAGGGCGTGTGCAAGAGGCAATCAATCAATGTGTTTCTCTCACATCAATATTTCTCTCCGTCTTTCCCTCTGTCTTCCACTCTCTCTAAAAATCAATGGAAAAATATCATTGAGGATTAAAAATAAAAATAAATCAATATGATTCAATTTATTTCATGATTATGGTCCATTTAAGTTTTTTTTCTTTCTTTTTGAGTGAGTTTGGGAAACTTACATTTTCTTGGAGATTGTTCAGATGAGCTAAGGGTTCACATTTATTGGCACAAAGGTGCCAGCCCTACTCTCCTCCCCCCTCTCCCTGCTCATCCCCATGGACCTCCCTCCTCCCTCTCCCCCTGCTCATCCCCATGGACCTCCCTCCTCCCCTTCCCCCTGCTTATCCCCATGGACCTCCCTCCTCCCCCTCGCCCTGCTTATCCCCATGGACCTCCCTCCTCCCAGCTCCCCCTGCTCATCCCCATGGATCTCCCTCCTCCCCCTCCCCCTGCTC